TTAAAATTATTGTTAAAGTGAATTAAAGAGCTGGTTTTTATAATTAAACAAAAATAAATATTTTAAATAATAGTTAAAGTGAATTAAAGAGCTTGTTTTTTAAATTAAACAAAAATAAAAATTTAAAATTATTGTTAAAGTGAATTAAAGAGCTGGTTTTTTTAATTAAACAAAAATAAAAATTTTAAATAATAGTTAAAGTGAATTAAAGAGCTGGTTTTTTTAATTAAACAAAAATAAAAATTTTAAATAATAGTTAAAGTGAATTAAAGAGCTTTTTTTTTTAATTAAACAAAAATAAAAATTTTAAATAATAGTTAAAGTGAATTAAAGAGTTAAAGAGTTGATTAAACAAAAATAAAAAATCTTAAATTGTATTTAAAGTGAATTAAAGAGCTGGTTTTTATAATTAAACAAAAATAAATATTTTAAATAATAGTTAAAGTGAATTAAAGAGCTGGTTTTTTTAATTAAACAAAAATAAAAATTTAAAATTATTGTTAAAGTGAATTAAAGAGCTGGTTTTTTTAATTAAACAAAAATAAAAATTTTAAATAATAGTTAAAGTGAATTAAAGAGCTGGTTTTTTTAATTAAACAAAAATAAAAATTTTAAATAATAATTAAAGTGAATTAAAGAGCTGGTTTTTTTAATTAAACAAAAATAAAAATTTTAAATAATAGTTAAAGTGAATTAAAGAGTTAAAGAGTTGATTAAACAAAAATAAAAAATCTTAAATTGTATTTAAAGTGAATTAAAGAGCTGGTTTTTATAATTAAACAAAAATAAATATTTTAAATAATAGTTAAAGTGAATTAAAGAGCTGGTTTTTTTAATTAAACAAAAATAAAAATTTTAAATAATAGTTAAAGTGAATTAAAGAGCTGGTTTTTTTAATTAAACAAAAATAAATATTTTAAATAATAGTTAAAGTGAATTAAAGAGCTGGTTTTTTTAATTAAACAAAAATAAAAATTTTAAATAATAGTTAAAGTGAATTAAAGAGCTGGTTTTTTTAATTAAACAAAAATAAAAATTTAAAATTATTGTTAAAGTGAATTAAAGAGCTGGTTTTTTTAATTAAACAAAAATAAAAATTTAAAATTATTGTTAAAGTGAATTAAAGAGCTGGTTTTTATAATTAAACAAAAATAAATATTTTAAATAATAGTTAAAGTGAATTAAAGAGCTTGTTTTTTAAATTAAACAAAAATAAAAATTTAAAATTATTGTTAAAGTGAATTAAAGAGCTGGTTTTTATAATTAAACAAAAATAAAAATTTAAAATTATTGTTAAAGTGAATTAAAGAGCTGGTTTTTTTAATTAAACAAAAATAAAAATTTTAAATAATAGTTAAAGTGAATTAAAGAGCTGGTTTTTTTAATTAAACAAAAATAAAAATTTTAAATAATAGTTAAAGTGAATTAGAGAGCTGGTTTTTTTAATTAAACAAAAATAAAAATTTTAAATAATAGTTAAAGTGAATTAAAGAGCTTGTTTTTTAAATTAAACAAAAATAAAAAATCTTAAATTGTATTTAAAGTGAATTAAAGAGCTGGTTTTTATAATTAAACAAAAATAAATATTTTAAATAATAGTTAAAGTGAATTAAAGAGCTGGTTTTTTTAATTAAACAAAAATAAAAATTTAAAATTATTGTTAAAGTGAATTAAAGAGCTGGTTTTTATAATTAAACAAAAATAAATATTTTAAATTATTGTTAAAGTGAATTAAAGAGCTGGTTTTTATAATTAAACAAAAATAAATATTTTAAATAATAGTTAAAGTGAATTAAAGAGCTGGTTTTTTTAATTAAACAAAAATAAAAATCTTAAATTGTAATTTTATTAATAAAGCCATTAAAAGTTATTATAAAAATAATAATAACTTGAAATCTAAATTGCTTTAATTTTCAAATCTAAAATTAATTAAAGTATTTTATCAAAATACCTTGTATAGGATTTTATTAATAAAGCCATTAAAAGTTATTATAAAAATAATAATAACTTGAAATCTAATTTGCTTTAATTTTCAAATTGACGTTTTCTTCATCTTCGGCCAACAACAACAACACATCCGACACCCAAAAGCTCTATTCATGTCTTATATGTTCGCAAATGAATTATATCAAAGATGTGCCACAATTTCGTCAACATATTGAACAACATTTGGGATCCAAACGGCCGTTCAAGTGTGACATTTGCAACAAATATTTCAAATATAAATCCATTTGTCGTAATCATGTTATGTCTCACTGTTTGGTTCGACAGCCGAAAAGCCCGCCGAAGACGACGACCAGTAGTGGTGGCCAACAATATGTTTGGTCACCAATAAAACAGAATTGAAATTTTCTTTTCGTCTTTGAATTCAATGAAAACTTATTTTTATCAATTAATTTATATGAAAATTTATTATTAAACATACTATTGATTGATTCAAAATTGTAATTATTATTATAATGTAAACTTAATTAATATTTTTTTCAAATAAATGGTTAAAAATCAATATTATTGACTAAATATTGTTGAATAGTTACTAATGTTAAATAAGATTTTATTTTAATTAGTTTTTTATTTAAAAATTAATTTCATAATCAATTTGAATGTGTTTTTATGATTCACTTTAACTAATTTTTATGTTTTATTAAATGTACATGATGAAATTTTATTATCATTATCAACAACAACATTAAATATATATTTTTTATATTATTAATTTAATTAATTTTGATCCCCAAATATATTACAATTTAATTAATTAATTAATTTTATTCATTTTAAAACACTTCAATTGATTTCATTTTAATTTATTGATTGATTGAATAGTTGTATTGCGCGCGACATTTGCTATAATAAAACTATTTTTATATATATATATTTAAAATATTTTTCAGTTAACAAAATCACTAACTTTTCAATCAAACAGTTAATTAGTTATTATTGTAATTAATTTCCCCACTAATAGTAGTAGTAATTTATAACTAAAATAATATTTATTTATTTTTAAAAAAAAAAATCAATCAATTAATTGATAATAAATTTGATTTCTTTCTTTGATTTTGATTCTAATCAAAAGTATTTCTATAACAACGCAAAGACAAAGATGAAGACAACGACTGATAGAGAAGTGATTATCGATGAAAATGAGTTCTCAGAAGAAGAAGAAGGGGAGCCGATCTATGTTGTAATCATCGTTTTTTTTTGTATTATTTACACGCACTATAGTTTCAATCAATTTAATTGTATTTCACGCGCAATTTACACGTATTTTTTAAAAAAAAAATAATAAAATAAAAGTAAATAAGTTTAAGCAAAAAAATAAATAATATCATTTTCCATTTAATTAACCTAACCTATTTATATAATGCTATTACACAAATGTTAACTTAACCTAATCTATTGTACAGTAATGAGTGTTCGCCCCGTTACCTAACCTGGTGGACCACTGGCAACCTTAACCTAATTATAATGGTATTATACGAATCTATTATATGATTACTGGTATAATAGCACTTGAAATATTCAATTATCTATTTACAAACAATAGCTAGTTTAAATAATACAAAAACGGTGTTTACAATATAGATTTTAGCCGATGAGGGAGATCAGACATCACTAGAAGTGCCAGAATTGTCAACCAATTTGCTGGTCAGTAAAGATAAGATGACCTCATCGTCGACTGAACGTCGGCTGTCAATGAATAGATTGCGTTGTCTTCGGCCAATCAATTGAGTGGGAGAACTCTTATTTGTTATCCCAATCTAATCCGTGACGCCAATGGACAGCTATGGTTCGGCTTAAACCGAAGCGCAGGTATTACGATAGGGGCGCCGTTCACGGGGGGGGCAGTCGCTCAAAGGCCGCTGTCTGGATCACAGGACTACCAAGAGTGGGTTGCCGAGTGGACATCGGTCAAGTTGCCAGAAGTGCGGGCCTTAAACGTGACCATAGCTTATAGGTTGACCTATATTGAGGAACACCTGAATATAGAGTTCATCCACTCAACGTTTGGTGGTATGTTTTTTTTGTTGCTATGTTTAGTATTAACTATAATGCCATCTGATTGGTTGAGCGCTGATTTGCATTTACCGAGAAACTGGACAAAGTGGTCGTCGGCCAGATGTCCGGTTAATAAAAAAACAGATAATAAATTCAGTGATTAGTTTAATAGCCGATTAGTAGTATTAGTATTAGTAGTAGTGGTCAGATCTGCGCCGCAATCAAGAGCTCGGGTCACACGTTGTTGTCGTCGTTGTCTTTATTACCGATCAAATCAGTTGATCGTTTGTCCAGTTCTTTAAAAATACTTATTTAACATTCTCTTTGAAATTATGTTTAATTTATAATTTTTTTTTAATTATATATATATTAGGAGTGAATGACATCCAGAAGCGGGACTTCTGGCCTTTGCTATGGCCACAAATTGTTGACCACTACTTGAATGACACCAATGAGAAGATTGTGAAAAAGTACGAATTGATTCAAATGCATGAAATTCAGTGAAAGTTATTTATTTTTGAAAACTTTTAGTCATTTAGTTATTGATACCGTAATATAAAATTATATCATAACATATATATATATACATTCAAATTAAATTTCATTCATGTGATATGACTTTACCGGTAATTAATTTTTTTAAACATTAATTGACATTAATTTTTTTATATTATAAATAATATAATTACATAACGAAAAGATTATTAAAGAAATACAAAGTTAATCCAAATGAGGGAATTTAGTGAGAGATATATCTTTAAAAACTTTTAGTCTACTTTTATCACTCATTAATTGATCCAAAAAAAATATGTTATATATATATATCACACTATTAGCCAATTCATTGATACATTTGATTGATATTTACCGGTAATTAATTGACACATTTTTTTTATATATAAAAATAACTTAAACATGTAGTCAAATGTTTGTTGTTTATAGATATTTAATTGAAAATAAATGTTATTATTATTATTACAAAAAAAATACAGTACATGTAGTTTACAACTATTTAGTGTATGAAATACATAATTTAATAAAAAAAATTTTGCTATTATGAGTACAATCGGGAAATTTATTGGACATTAACGGGTATATCGGATATTATCGGCTAATCATTTGAGTACAAACATATAGACTGGATATAAGCCTTTAGGCATTTTGTATTGTTTTCGTTCGCAGATCAGCTCGAGATTGGCTCTCTTGAAGATATCGATGAACAGCCAATGCGGTCGCGTAACCGAACTATCGTTGGTGTCGTCATCGCATTCATCCGATTGTGTTGTATTGTCTTTGACAACAATAATGCCGTCATCCGATTGGTTGAGCGCTGATTTACATTTGCCGAGAAACTGGACAAAGTCGTCGTCGGCCAGATGTCCGGTTACCCATTGAATCCAAATACAATCGTATTTGATGTCCGGATCGGGCGTAAAGTCTTGTAGACCACTGTTGTATGAATTACCGATTCGTTTGTAATCTTCTGAACCGATGTATGTCTTGGCTTCGGTCAGAAACTCCGGGTTTTGTTCCAATAGATCCACTGAATCGAAATATTTTAGTAATAAATGTTTGCTAACTCTGCCGATACCTAAACAACAACAAAAACAGATAATAAATTCAGACATTAGTCTAATAACCGATTAGTAGTAGTAGTAGTAGTAGTAGTGGCCAGACCTGCGCCGCAATCAAGAGCTCGGGTCACACGTTGTTGTTGTTGTCCATTGTTGTCGTCGTCGTTATCCTTATTACCGATCAAATCAGTTGATCGTTTGTCCAGTTCTTTGAAATATTTATTTAACAGTCTCTTGGATGCCGTAATATCGACGCCAGTAATTGTGGTAAAGCCGCCTAACATGCCGTCCAGTGTCGGCTCCACTTGTGACCAATAATCGCGACCATTACTATAGAAACCGTCGTTAACTTTGCGGCCATTGATGGACATTACTGATTGATTGATTGATTGTCTGTTTGTTTCGGGAGTAAAAAAAATCGGCGGTTCCGCTAAAAATACGACCAACAATTCAAATCAGTGGTCGGGAATGTCGGCTCTCTCTCTCTCTCTCTATCGGGTGGTCACCAAACAAACAAACAAACAAAATGTTGGTCTTAACACTCGTATAAACAACAATTCAATTACCGATTCAATTCAAATTGAAATTCAAAAAAAAAATACTTATTATTATTAATAAATAAATAAATAAACAATTGATTTGTTGTACACAAAAAACACGTGACTCTAAAATATTTTATTCAACACTTGTTTTTTGAAAAACATATTATATGTTAAATAATAATAATAAATACTTTATGTGTGATTGCATAACAACTTGTTATTACATTATATAGACGTCTACTGTTAAAACAGTTTTTAGCGGGCAATGGTTTGGGTAATAATAATAATAATAATAATAATAATAATAATAATACTGTAATAGGGATTCAATGGATAATACATAGTGAAAGTTAACAATTAGTTTTTAATTATTATTATTATTTTCTAATTTATAAAAATTAATTGGTTTTAATAATAAACAAAATTATTATTAATTGACTTATATTTTAGTTTTTTTTTATAAATGTTTCGGTTTGGGTAAGATAAATTTTTTTTTAAAATATATATTTTGAGTTTTTAACATATCTAGTTTGATAAAAATAAAAAAAAGAGTATAATAAACATAAATTAAGAGATTTTTAAATAATTTTTTTTTTAAATTTTATTTTTGTATTTTTTGTATAAATTACAACAAAATAATGTTAATTCAATACATTTGATGTATTTGATTGAAAACAAATTGATAAAATATACTGAAAACAAAATAACTAAAAATTTTCTTAATAATTAAAATATTAATTATTTATTTTTATATTAAGCCAGTTTATAACAAATTTATAATTTTTATAATAACCATAATTAATAATAATAGTAATAATAATAATAATATAATTTATCCTATTTATAATTTAGTTATATTGATAGATATTATGGATACAAATAATATAAATAAATAATTTAATAAGTTTTCATAAAAAATATTATTATTAATTTATATAAGAAATTAATTAACAAAATTTTATTTATATTGTAATTTTTAAAAATATTTTAAATCAATATTTAGTTATTATTTTTTTAAATGTTTAGTTAAATTAGTTTTATAAAAATATATGTAAATTATATAATTTTTTCAACAAATATTTTAATATTAGTAATTATTTAAATGGATGTAAAATATTTTTTTTACAAAAAATTTAATTAAATTATTATACATTTTATTTTATTATATACTGTACTAAATAATCTATATATAAAACAACAATTTTAATACAATCATGCTTTTAATTTATTAGTTATAAATGTCAACAATATATTTAATATTATTATTATTATAATTTATCAAGCAATCATAAAAATTTGATTCAAAATTATTATAAGTATTAATATTATAATTTTTTTTTGAATTATATTTGTGCTAAAAATATCTACAATATATAGTCGACAATGTAATAAAAAAATTTATTTAACAATGTATTATACAGTACATGTACAGTACTGTTGGCTAAACTATTTATGGGTTTAAAAAAACAATTAATATTTATTATTAAAGTATATTAAAGTAATAATATATATAAATCAGTTGCCTTTCAACAATAAATAACAAACAAACAAAAATAAAGTTTGCAATGCATTTAATACATTATGTATTGTCAAGTAATTTCATAGAGTATATTATATAATGCAATAATAATATTACTAATAATAATAATTAATCATATTTTTTAAAAATATATAAAAAATTAAAGCTATGATTAATGCTATGATAAGACAATTATTGTTTGTTGAATGAGACAGTAGTTGGCAATGAGTTATAGACCAAAAAAAAATATTTTTAAAATATATATATATATATTTATTATATAATATACTATAGTATTTTGATTGCATTTTGATTTTTATAAAATGGTTTTCAATTTAAATAAAAATTACTAATAATACTAATAAAACAAATAATATATATATATATATATTTAAAAATAAAACAAATTATTAACTATTTAGCTAAAAAAAAACTATTTAAACAAAACAAAAAAAATAATTTAAATCTGAATTTTCCAAAATTAAGTTATTATCAAAACTATTAAATAACAAAAAAAAATGATAAAAAATAATTTCATATTATTTTTTGTGTCTAATTATTAAATTTAAAAAATAAATAATTAATTAATTAAAAAAAAATATTTATATAGTTATATAATATGATATAATTTTTTTATTTTTAAATTTAATAATCAATTGATAACAACTTTTTGTTAACACATATGATATATAAAGTGATAGACATAGAGAGGTCTCTCAGCAGTCATATAGTTATAGCCATAGAGAGAGAGTGTGTGTATGTGTTATATATATGAATAGCATTTCAGTGTTGTTTGTATTTTGTATTTAGTTTTATAATAATAATCAGTCAGTAATAGTGAGGCATTTGACTCAAGCAGTCATAATGACTATAATAGTGTTTCTCATCGATACGTCCGCCTCAATGAACCAGAGGACACATTTCGGTGCCCGACCGACACTGCTTGATGTGGCCAAAGATGCGGTGGAAAAGTTTCTAAAGGTTCGGTAGCCGAATGGCCAGTTTTTCGGCCCATTTTTTCTATGCATTTTGCCATTAAATAAAAAAATCTATGGACGCCCTATATATGCATTACTATATCGCCATTATATACATACACACACATAGACAGTGTATATATACAGTACTACTAAATGCATAGTATTTTTGTAAACATTATATTAGATTTTTATTTTTTACAAGTGTCACACAAGTGCCCGCTCCGTATATAACGTTACGCTTTTAAGTGTGGACGGGAGATCGGCTAACTTGTATAGAGTTATTTAGATTATTATGGATTAGATGGTAGTAGGGGTTTGATATTTGTAACGATGTTTGTGTGTGTGTGTAAACTGTTTTGCATTAGTCTATCCAACAATAATGTTATATTAGTTAACGTCTATATAATAGTGTAATTGTATTGATAATTATGATTGAATTAAATGTCAAAAAAAAAATTATTTATTTTTAATTAAATAACTTTTTTTTGTATATAAAAAAAACTTATTAAACAAATAACCAAAAAAATAGTTAAATTTTTTTGGTTATTAATTTATTAGAAATTTAATGTTTTTATTATTATTATTAATTAATATTATTAATGTTTTTAATTAATTAATTAATTAATTAATTATTATTATTATTATCACCGAAAAAAACAGTTCCGACAGCGAGATATCGCCAGCCGTGGCGACCGATACATGTTATTGACGTTTGAAGACTCGCCGCACAACGTAAAGGTATGTCCGCAACACCGTTGAAGAAATAAAAAGTTTTTATTGGTTTTTAATTATTATTATTATTATTATCGGTAATCTCTTCCCCCTCCCGAAAAAGGCCGGTTGGAAGGAAAGTCATGTAGTCTTCATGAATGAGCTGAAGAACTTGACGGCCACTGGTATGACAACGATGGGTACGGCGCTGAAGAATTCGTTTGATTTGCTTAACATTAATCGTATGCAAACCGGAATCGATACCTACGGTCAGGGCCGGTGTCCATTTTTTCTGGAACCATCGGTGATTATTGTAATTACCGACGGCGGCAAACTGAGTACACAATCGGCTGGCGTTTGCGACGAACTTAATCTGCCGATGCATTCGTCAGTTCCCGGTTCCGAACTGACAAAAGAACCGTTTCGTTGGGATCAACGGCTCTTTTCAATTGTCCTGCGACTGACGGGAACCTATAACTCGCCGAACGAAAACTATAATACATTAAACAATACATTTGCCGTGCCTTCAGACCAATCGCCGATCGATGCCATGTGTGATGTGACGGGAGGTATGTTGTGTGTCCCCCATAATAAATGACTTCATCCATCCATCCAAACAAACAAAAAACAATTGACAGATAAAGAGAGAGAGAGACAGACAATTGTGATAATATTTGATTGTGTGAACAGACAAACAGATAATGTTTGGGATCTAATGATCTAAACTATGAATCAAAGTTACGGATTGTGTGGTCTATCTTAATGACTGACTCGTCTGTATCCTTCATCTGCCAAATGCCTTATGTGTGCGTATATATATATATAGGGGTGACCAGAGAGAGACCCGTACCGGTGTCCCGCTGTGCCACAAATTGTCAGCACACGTGCGTCACAGTACGTATTGGTACCAAAAAAAAATGATAATAAGGCTAATAATAAACGGATAAATAATTTTTTTATATATATAAAGAAAAAAACATTTACCGTATATTGCAGATGACAATTGTCTCTTAAAATTTGTCTTAAAACTTATCAATTAATAACACAACATATATATGATATGATATTATATAATTTGTTTTTAGTTTTTTTTAAATAGTTTGTCTTTTTTAATTTAATTATCAGATGAATGAAATTTATTTTTTTAATTATTTTTTATAAATTAAATGTTTTGATTGATTTGTTTGTTTGTTTTTTTTGTCCACTATTTAATCAAATAAACAGGTCGTTCATATTGTGTATCATCTCAGCGGACACTGATGGCCAGTATTGATCAGCTAATACAGCGAATACATAGCGGCGTTGTCATACATTTTGAAAAAGTTGGTCCCGACCCGCCAGTGATTATTCCCGCCGATGAAGACATGACCACCACTAACACCAACAACACCTGTGATTCAAATAATGGACTCATTATTAATAGTACTAATAATACAACAAATAAGACTATTGTGATTAATAGCAACATTAATAATAATATTAATAATGATAAACTATGGCACAGTTGCCGAAAACTAATCTATGTACAACGGTCAGCCCAAAAAGGCTACTCTGTTGGCCACTGGCCAATACCCGAATCGTTTTGGCCGGATATTAGTTGTCCGACACTACAGCCGCGTACAGCCCAACCCATTGTAAAGTTTACGTGTACCGATTCGGAGCCGACGGTCATCGAAAACTTACCGTTCGATAAGTACGAACTGGAACAGAGTCCACTAACCCAGTTCATACTGTCCCGCAAACAGCCGCACGTGGCCTGGCAAGTGTTTGTCAGCAATAGTCATAAAAATACTGAACTCGGCCTACCGTTTGGCTATTTGAAAGCCAGTACCAATCTAACCTGTGTCAATCTGTTTGTCTTGCCATACAACTATCCCATACTGTTGCCACTGTTGGACGATCTATTCAAACAACATCAGGGAAAGCCTACCCGGGAATGGAAGGTCCAATTTGATAACTATTTGAAACTGATGCCACTGTACTATGCGGCACCATTGAAACGAGCCCTACAGCGTATGGGTGCACCCAATCTGGTTCCCGATCAGATGGAAAATTGTCTGTCATATCCAGTGCTTAACTATTTGAAGAAATTGAAGAATCTGGCAAAAGCCGAATATGAGAAACTGGTGGCCAGTGTCGGCACCGGTAAACCGCAACAATTGGACAGTATTCGTGTGAACTGTTCGAATATGCGGCGAATTGCCGATCGAGGTCTCTGTTCAAATCCATTGTTGTCCAAAAGATTTGAAAAACTAAAAGAAGAAATGAACGAATTTTCTGGTTTCGGTATACGATTTCGCGATAAATATCTGACCGAATCGAAGATACAGTGCTATCGAAATGCTTTCGACATCAACCGACAGGATCTGTTGGATCAGATTTGTCGGATGCGTACAAACTTTATGCAACGACATACGAGTGCCATCAAGTATCAGGACGACGACCAACTGCATAGTTTACCGATCAGCCAAATGGGTAACTATCAGGAGTATCTCAAGAGAATGCCGGTACCATTGAGGGAACTGGAGTCGACACCAGTACGGCAGCACATGTTTGGCAATCCGTTTAAAATTGATAAGAAGGGTATGATGATGATCGACGAAACCGATATCGATTTGGTTGGCCAGAGCAGTAGTGGTGGCCAATCGCCGGCCAGATCGGCCAAACGATCGGCAAACGATATGTACAGCGGACCGAAACCCAAACGAAAACCTGGACCATTGCCCAAAGATTTTCCACTAACCCGACCGCTGAGTCCTATTCCTATTACTCCACCGCCGTCGCCAACAATCCAATCACCGCCTGTATCACCATCGTTGCCATTGTTTATACCATCGACTCCACCATCAACACTACTACCACCACCACCAACAACATCATCATTAGCATCACTGCCACCAACATCATCATCGCTAATACACGACAAAAGTGTTGCAAACGGTAGTCTAGTGTCGTGTCGACTAACACCTAAAGATAATCACACAAATCAAACAACATTAACAACAACATCAACAGCAATACCATCAGTGATGACCACAAACACTGAACATAACATAACAACAATAAAATCTTCGATAATAGTGACAACACCTAAAACCAGTGCAACAGATCACAGTGTAATACATTCATCATCAACATTGTCATCGTCATCATCATCAGCGATACAAAACTCTTTATTGCATACGAAATTAGATCCACAAACGCCGGATCATCACTCAATACAAATTAATAATAATAATAATAATAATAACTATTTACCCGAACCAGAGATTCAAGTAATACAACAGCATTTAAGAAGTAATAGTAATAATAATAATAATAATAATGAAACAAATCATTCAAAGACAGACAATTTGATACATAATCTTAATAATAGTAATAATAATAATCTTAATGATGTGATTGTCATTAATAATAATAATAATACTAATAAAACTAAACGTAGTAATAGTAATGATAATAATAATAGTAGTAGTAATAATAATAATAATATTAGTACCGTTAAAGTCAATTCAAATTCAATACTACCACTAAGTCCATTAAAATCAAGTACACCTATAGTGCCAGTTAATGGTAGTCTAGTAGTACCACCAGTAGTAATAACTACCGGTAGTACTAATCCGATATCAATTGATACTGAAAACGATGATCTGATGATAAATCATTGCGATCATAATGGGACCGCTGCTGCCGTTATCACCGCCACCGCCGCCAATGATGATGATGACGACGACACCGATGACGACATCGTCAACAATATCAAAATGATTGCCTTTACCGCTGATGAATGCGAGCTTAAGAAGTATTTGTTTAAATTGGTTCGAAAACCTGGAAGAAGTAATTAATTGATTGATTTTTCTCTTAATTTTTTTTTTGTATACAATTTGTTTGTATTTATTAATTAATTGTTTTTTTAATTTGCCACAGATTTTGACGAATTGTTGCTCCAATTATCGCATACTCGTGGCTCTGTTCGCGAGCATCTGATCCAAGAAGTTATTCAAGAGGCCAATCGATTCAAACGAAAGTCACTCATCGATATACTATCAAATCAATTCAAATCAAAGACGACGACGACATCATCACATGAACTACTGTCCAATAATTTTGAGACCATTTGATATTATTGTTGTTTTTTTATAATAAAAAAAATTGAATTTTTTTAATAATTATAATTTTAAGGGACAGTTGTGATTATTATTATTTTGGTGGCAAACCAACCAACAAATATAGATGTCTTAAAAAATTATTATTATTATTATTATTACATTTTTTCTTGTCTTTATTTTTGACTGTTATTCTGTATAAAAAAAATGTATATATATATGTCTAAAAAAAGTAATTATTTGTAAATTAAATTTTTTTTTCAATTTGCTTTTTTTTGTTGTTTTGTTTGTTTGTTTGTTTGGTTATTGTATTTGTTTTAATAAAAACCTTCACACAAAAAATATAATAATAATAATAATAATAATAATAAACTGAAAGGGCGTTAAACCTATACATTATAACTATAAATATATATATAATACTAATATTATTATTATTATTATTAAAAAGCAATCTGTGATTTATCTGACATATTGTATATATATTTATTTATATATAATTTTTTTTCATTAATAGAAAGAGTGAGAGAGAGAAATCTTAAGTTTAAAAATTTCAAATTTTTTTTGTTGAAATGTTTTTATGTTTACACAAAAATTTTTAAAAAAATATATTATTTTTTTGTTTTTTGATTTACATTCACCAACTGCTCGAAAAAAAATTTAATAAAAATAAAGTCAAATTTTTTTCGTAAAACTAAACTATTAATTTATAGTCTATATTTATTTGTTGTATATATAATATATATATATTATATAAAATTTATATTATATTATAAATTGTCCAAATAATAATAATAATAATAATAACAATAATAATAATTAGCTATAATGTTGCAAAATTATTTGACAGACAACAACAAAAAAATTAAATAAATAAATAACTAAAAGTATCATTAAAATTACACTACAATGAGATTAAAAAATAAATTGTTTTAAAAATAATTGCATCAAAAATAACAACAAATTTTTTTTTGGTAAACATTGGTTTGTATTTTGATTGCTTCAAATTATACTGGTAATTTATATTTATTTTATCTATATATATATTATATATAGTAAAAATTTATATTACTTAATACAATAAATAAACTATTATTGGTTTGAAATTATCAATGAATTTACGATATATATATATACTGTGTATATATATATAATGTATTGGACGAAACATTTATTGCCTTAAAATTTATAGCCTCTATAATAATAATAATAAAAAGTAATTTACGTATAAAAATATGTTGAAAATTAAATTTATATATAATTTTTGTTTTGGTTTTGTCTCTAATTTTTTTGTTTTGTCTTATTTGTTGTCAATTTTTATATCAGATTTTTCTAAATGCTTTTTCGTCTGTAATTTTGATGGGAAGAGAGTTCAATGTCTTTTGTTTTATATATATATAATATATATATATATATATATATATATATATATATATATATATATATATATGAATTCAGTATATAATCAAATAAATTGTTTATTTAAGATAATAAAACAAAACAACAAAATAATATTATTATTAATCTACTGAATAGCTAACTATTAAAATTACAACAACAAAATTTTAATGTCTATATAAAATATTATGTGTTAAAATATATATACTGTATATTTGATACAAAAAAATTTGATATGATATGATATACAAAATGATACTAGTAGTGATAGTAAACTATTATATATATTATTTGGTAAATTATATTTTTTATCAACAAATAAAATAAAATAAATAAATAAAACCAATTTATAATAATTTAATTGATCCAGGTGCTTAAGGGGTCAAATTTGGAAATAGTTTAGTTTTTTGACTGCTTAATTATGATTAGGGGGGACTATAATTATAATTATATGATGAACTTAATAGCTATTGATTTTCATAGCGTGACGGCAACTATATATATATATATATATATATATATATATATATATATACTGTATGTAGAAAGGGTTGGATAAACTATAATGTCATATATTTAATATATATATATAATATAATATATATATTTAGTCGTCAATCATTTTTTTCGGTTAATATTATATTAATATTTTAATTAAGTTTGTTTTTTTTTGGGTAGTCATTATTCATATATAAGAAAATGACTCATTTGTTAATAATTTATTTGCTTATTCACTGTTTTGGCTGTAATTTTTCAGATCAAATAAACACATATATATAAACTACCGTATATACAGGATATATATATAATATATATACAATATATATATAATATATATACAATATATATATAATATATATACAATATATATATAATATATATACAATATATACTAAATTATAATTTTGTGTATAATAGTGTAAATATTATTGAACATACATATAATATTTAATTTTGTTGTTGAAAAATATATATTAATATATAATTTTGTTTATTTTGTTATAAATAAGACATCACTTTAATTTTTAAACTAACAAAATTTTTAGTATTATTTTTTGTTAATCAATTTATTTATTTATTTGCAATAGTGAGGTCATCTCACATAAAATTATATACTATATATTCATAGATTATTAGTTTTCTTAATTACAACAACAAAAACACAAATGAAACCAACAAAACAACAACAACAAAAACAACAAAACTTTTTCATATAATTTTTCATTTTGGTGTTGAAGAGTAGTATCATTAATAATAATATTATGTTTAGTTTTTTATATATATATATATTTATTTTCAATAATGTACTAAACATTATTATTATTATGATATCATAGTATAGCACTATTAGAAAATATATATATAATTTTTTTTAGGTTAAAACTGACAGTATTTTCATTTTTAATGAGTCTAATGAATTATAAAAGAGATTTATTTATTTATTTATCATTATTATTATGAATAACATATAGAATATATATATATGTTTTTTCATGACTTGTGTTGTTAAATAAAAAAATATATATGCTTTTTTGTACACACAATTTACTATAAAAGTAATATTATATAAGAGATAAGTAAAAAATAAAAATTTCACAATTATTTTTTTTATAAAAAAAATTGATGGCATTTCACTATATTATATGTTGAGTGTCTATTCATAAAATAAAATAAATACAATACAATAAGTTATAATACCGGTTATAATATAGGTATTGAAAAATTATATTATATTATAGAATAAAAGTGTTTTTTTTATTAAAAATACAGGTATTTATATAATAATAATTTTTTTCATGTATAATATCATCATTTATTTCCGTTATTTTTATTATTTTGTGTTAATTAAAATAATTAAAAAAATACTGTAATAATAATAAACATTATATACTTTATATAATGAATTAATTAATCTTAAAACTGTTGATTCATTATTCAAAACTATTAACTTATATATATATTGTTGTTATTTATTACACAGGAGACAAACACTTTTAATAAAATAATTAATAATAATAAAATAGTTTATATTTATTTATTTTTTTTTTTGAAATTAAACTAAATTAGCAAACATGGCGTTTTTAACTAAATTATAATAATTATAAAATTATTTTATATTAATTATAAATATACTGTAATATATATATATATATATATATATATATATATATATATATATATATAGTCGGGCGTTATACATACTAAAATAATAATACTAATTATTATTATTATGTTTGTTGTAATAATAATAATAATATTTTTTGCTGATTAATTTATATTTTATATTTTAGCCATGAATGCTGATTATTGATGTCGTTGTTATATTTTATAACAAATACTAAGAAAAAAACCATAAAATTATAATTTATGCAAAATATAAATATTTTATTTTTACTTATTTTTTAAAAAAAATATGTTGTTTTAATATATTCACTGTTTGTTTTATTTTAAAATAAAATAATATGACTTTAAGCTATGAGTTTTGTTGTTGTTGTTTTTTGAAAACCCCATTTTAAAAACCACTTTTACTTATTATTATGATATTAAATAAATAAATAGTAATATTATAATAATGTTATTATTATTATAATTATTATTATTGTGAAGAGAGAGAGAGAGAGAGAGAGAGAGAGAGACTGTTATTTTTCATATAACAATAATAAGTACTTTAATATTAAATATAAGAATTTTAATATTTGTATTTAATTTTTGTTTTGCATATTAAGAAAATTCATTTTCTAAAGTCTAGGGATTTAATTTTGTTTTATTTTTTTATATATAAAAATAAATTAAAATCTATGGCAATAATAATAATAATAATAATAATGGTTAAATAGTATGATACTGTACACAGTAATATGCTATACATTTATAAAATGTATTAAACAGCATATTATGGGAATAAAATATGCTTTTTTTTTTGTTTTGTTTGGTTTGGTTTAATGCTCACTAAAGATACCGACACATTAATGAGGTTTTATATAAATTTTAATATATATATATATATATATATATATATTAAAATTTATATTAAAAATAATAAATAGTAGAGAGAAAAACAGATTCAAATAATGATATTATTAATGACATATATATATATATATATATTGTATATAATTTATATATATATATCATAGTAAATGAGTGGAATATATTATATTTAATATGATTTTAATATAAATTTATATTATATTATATGATAACTATGTGTGAGAAGTAGTTTAACTCACTTTTCATTACTATTTATTTAGTTTTATTTTATTTTTGTTGTTATATTATTTGCTAATGTATTTTATCTAGACAATTTTTATTTATATTTTAAATAAATTTTTATTAAAATTACTTAACAATTTACACTATTTTTTTATTAATAATCTTAAATAATAATAAAGTATAAAATATTTTTATAAAAACAAAAATAATTTTTGTCATAAATTTTTATACAGTAATGGATTATAGCTATCATCGAGTCATTCAATGAAAATCAATTTATTATTATTATTATTATTAAGTATATATATATATATATATATATATATATATATATATATATATATATATATATATATATATATATATATTACAAAAAATATGCTAAACTTTTGCAATTAAATACAATTCAATTAGTATTTTATTATTATTTTTTCCATTTTAGGAGTAAAAAAATTTATCGTTAATTATGCTTACATTTTATGAATACAATATACTATCGTTGAGTAATTTATAAGTCACAACATCAC